ATGGCGTGGTTCATGATCCATTTTCTTCAATCTTTTTAATACACCTGACTTCATAGGTGCCACCTCCTTCGAAGGTATTGCAGTTTCTTCAACAACAGGCTTGGGAGTTTTCTTCGAACATTTTTCTCCTTTACTAACTTTCTTAGGAGACTTAGCCAATTTTTCAACTGGTACACGACTAGTTTTCAAAGGACTAGCCTGATCATTCTTCTTTGATCCTCGACGTTTCTTCGAAGGACCTTCAGCAGACTTTTCTAACAACTGGTCAGTCTCTATTGATGGATTGATAGTCTTTAAATATTCTACCAATATGGGATTGGTTGGATCAACTTTTTGAAGCATCGCATCAGGGAGACGAGCCACAGTTGGAAAGACATCAATATCATCTTCAAATGTTTTGGGATAATGATACATGGAGAATTCAGCTGTTTCTTCGTTTTCAGGAACTAGAATGCCTTCCTTCTCATAGACAAACTGCAGTTTAGGCTCCAGTAGTGAGCACAAGAAATCCCATCTACAACATTGGTATTCCCGATACTCTTCACAAACTCATCCCACAATTGAGTTGCATAGTCCATTGGTAAATCATAGTAAATCCCAGCTACCATTGCATAAACTTCCAATCGAGCTTTATCCAACCCCACAGTTATTCCTGTCAAACAACAAAGGTATATGCCAAATAAGAAATTCCAAAGACAAGGCAAACTTGATTTCTTAAATTCACTGATCTTTGTGAGAGTAGGTTGATAACCCACCTCATTGAACATATGAATGACTTGGGCATTCGTTACCTTGTAGAAAGGTTCAGCATTGGGCATATTCAGAATTTGAGCAAAAAGTTTCTTCGATAACCAGAACTTCTTGTCATTCACCATCTGGAATGTCACAATCTTCATCGTCTTGCTGTAAGTGGCCGTAGAACCAGCAAGTGACAACCAAGATGACGGTACAGCAAAAGAACTGAACATTGATGTCGACAACACTGAACTTTTAAGAGTGCCGATTAACATCTTCAATTCTTCTGGGTACACATCAACATCGCCTTGAACTTGATAGTTGGTGCTTTGAATCTTCATGATTGGTTGAGAAGAAACGTCTTCAGTGGTATGAGAATCAACATGTTTAGCCGCCATGGCTAGGGTTTTGAAATCTTGAAGAATATCAGAGAGAAAAAGGGCACAAATCTTTTGAGTATTGTAAATAAGCGTAAAACTGGAATAGAATCCCCAAATCCCTTTTTATACGTACACCCAATTTGAATTTGAAGCGGTTTTAAGCATTAATTGCTATGCCACATGTCACCAAGAAAAGCAGACTTGATGTCGTAAAGGTAGACACGTCTGAAAAAGTGATGATCACTTTTCCTTGAAACCCGCATAGTAACCATAACGTCACATCCATCAGTCTTTTTGATAGTACCAAGAGGATAAGAACCGTCAGAAACCTTCGGAATGGAGGTTGGGCTCTTTCACTTTTGGTTTGAAAAGCGAAGTCATTTGCCAGACTTTCGAAATGATCAACCTGAGTTGGTTTTACTCAGAACCTCAAGGATTTCGTGAGTGCAATGTGTGCCAATGAAAAAGTTAAGAAACAAAATAAGAAAATTTTGGTTCTGTGATGTCAAAAATATTTCGACACAAATGCAATAAGATCCCAGGCAAAGATCACTTCATTATTCATCAAGAGAGATGACTAACAGCTTGTGTGGTTTCCCGTGAATTACAATCGAATACTTATAGAGAAGTATCGAAGGGCATCTTTTTATAAGGCTTCATGGGTTGGCTAAAAATTTCGTTACATATCACATCTAAACATAAGAGTGACAAATTGTAAACGAAATTACCTGTTTGACCAGTGTAGTCAGGGACAATTATGATTTGGAAAATTTTATTAAGTAACAAAGAATCAGATGGATACTCACACAGAAATCATATTCCACAAAACAAAACTATTCCTGGATCTTGTTGGGTAAAAAATGTCGTGGGTTCCGAACATTTTATCAAGACCACGCAAAAAGAAAGAATATGATTTTGAGTATCAAAAAATGGTACTTAACCAAATGTTTTCGTGAAAATCTGGAACAAAGTTCCCCGTCGATTCTTTTAAGTGTTCGAAAAGTTGGGTTTCACTTTCATCACGGTCTCATGATGTCAGATCATACAAAGTTTTGATATGTCTAGATCATGATTGGTTTATACCAGAGATCTCTTCGACATATGTCATTGTGTGAGAACGTGTAAGATATTTTGATGAAAAAGAGTGGTTCAAGAAGCGAATGTACCTCTGCTATGATTGGACCAAGCAGTTAACTCTTAACTCATGTGAGAAGAGTAACGTAGCTCAGAGACTAATGTGAATATACCCTAATTGGGAAGGAATTTTCGTGATGAAAAGTCCATTAAGGCTTTCGAATACGCATCGAGTCATGGAGGCTTGGGTCGACATGATGCAGCAAGCTTCTAGGGACATCCTAACCAGGACAAAGTTTCGAAGATATACCTTTCCCTCAAGCAGCAAGCATGAACCAATCAAGAATCTTCGCTAAAAGCTACACAAGAAAATTTAACAAAACACAAAAATATTTTTGGATTTTTTATTTTTAAAATGATAAAAACAAAAATAACGAAAAATCTTTTTGGAATTTTTGATTTTTGAGAATAAAGACAAAAAGAACAAAAATCTTTTTGGAATTTTTAATTTTTGAAAAAGAAAGACAAAAATGAAAATCTTTTTGTTGTTTTTGATTTTTGAAGAAAAATAACAAACAATAAAAGATATGTACACGATTAGCGAAAAAATGGTAAAGAAAAAAAGTAGCGAAGATTTTTGTCAAACCAGTATACATGATGTCGAAAGTGAAGCATGTCGAAGAGTTGACTGTGAACAGTAACCGCTGAATAATGAACAGTAACCGTTGAATCGACATCTTTCCACCACTTTGGCTTGTTATTCTAACGAAGTCTGTCCAGGAACAGAATTCTCATCAATCATTCCTAAGCCAATCAATATTATTACGAAAGATTTTTCATCTAAAGGCTTTGTAAAGATATACCTTTCCCTCAAGCAGCAAGTATGAACCAATCAAGAATCATCGCTAAAAGCTACACAAGAAAAATTAACAAAACACAAAAATATTTTTGGATTTTTTATTTATAAAATGATAAAAACAAAAATAATTAAAAATCTTTTTGGAATTTTTGATTTTTGAGAATAAAGACAAAAAGAACAAAAATCTTTTTGGAATTTTTATTTTTTGAAAAAGAAAGACAAAAATGAAAATCTTTTTGTTGTTTTTATTTTTGAAGAAAAATAACAAACAATAAAATAAATGTACCTGATTAGCGAAAAATTGGTAAAGAACAAAAGTAGCGAAGATTTTTGTCAAACCAGTATACATGATGTCGAAAGCGAAGCATGTCGAAGAGTTGACTGTGAACAGTAACCGCTGAATAATGAACAGTAACCATTGAATCGACATCTTTCCACCACTTTGGCTTGTCATTCTAACGAAGTCTGTCCAGGAACAGAATTCTCATCAATCATTCCTAAGCCAATCGGTATTATTACGAACAATTTTTCATCTAAAGGCTTTGTAAAGATATTAGCGAGCTGATCAGTGGTCTTTACAAAATCAACTTCTATGTTCTCTTCTTCAATGTGATCTTTGATAAAATGATAACGAAGAGCAATGTGTTTGGTTTTTGAATGTTGTATAGGGTTGTGGCAGATGCGATAATCATGTATTTTCGATATATATATATATATATATATATATATATATATATATATATATATATATATATATATATATATATATATATATATATATAGTCCAATTCCGGTGAAGACTTTTTTTAAAATGAGGACTCGTGAGGACACCTTAAAAGAATTGAAAAAAAAATCTAAAAAAATACAAATCATTATATCGAACATAATATTATATCTGGGAGAAAAAAAATTGGAAAAAAAGAATTGCATCCTTAAAATTGAATCATGAATCATAAAAGTTGAATCATGGATCATAAAAATATCCATGCTTCAATTTTAATGATCCAAAGTTTTCTTTTCAATTTCTTTTCTCTCCAATGTAGTACTATGCTCGATTTTATGATTTGTATTTTTTTTAGATTTTTTTTCAATTTTTTTAAGGTGTCCTCACAAGTACTCACTTTAAAAAGAGTCCTCACCCGATCTTGTTTCGTATAAGAAAGATCCAGACTTTTAATCCATTATATAATCATTCCTAATATCAAGAGTTTCGTTAAGGTGCTCGGTATCAATAAACCGAAACCGACACCGGTAAACTAGAAAAAAACCGAGAAGTTGAGTAACCGAGCCCATGGGTTGGATTTGGATTCGGTTCCAATTCTTTAAAAACCGTTTATATCGGTTTCGTTTCGCTTTTAGGTCAAAACCGACCCAAACCGACCGATACACGCCTCTATCTATGAGTATGATTATGTTAATTCCACTCATCGAATGTGAATGTGTCACCATCCCAATTTTGATGTGTTTCTGGTTGTTCTGCTTGTCTGGACATGAAAATTTCTCCTTTCATTGGCCATTTGTTCTTTGTTTTGGCCGGTGCGATGCTTTCTAGCTGCTTGGAGCACAGACCTCGTATGACTCTGCTTAACTACCTTGATTCTATCTTCATCTCGATATCTTTCCTTAACATGGTAATTGATATTCATGGATACTTCTTCTAAATGGTGAATTATCCTACCTTAGTATGAGACAAGGATTGGCACTTGTGTACTTGTCTCCTGCAAGTTGTTGTTGGCGACTTGTTGTGGCCATTGTGTTTGCTGCATGGCCAGGTTGCCGAATATGGTTGGCAGTATGTAAGCTTATGGGCCTGAAGCCAGTATGCTTGATATTGCGCATACGATAGTGGGGGTGGCATTAGCACATAAAGCTGTATGTTTTGCTACATGGGTATATTTGTTGTTGCCCAATTTTATTATAGGAGGGGTGGTAATACTTGCATAGTCAACTCGTTAAGCTTGGAGGCCAACTTCGAGCGTGGCTTTTCTGTTTACTAATCTTATGCTTAAACTGCTTGTTGTTTCGAATGTAGCGGAATTTGCTTGTATTGACTTCTTTTTCTCCATTGAAGGTTCCTTATTTGCTCTATTATCGTTGTTTGTGTCTTTTGCTAGGAGGGTGTCTATGGTCGGCTGAGATGGCGTTGGTGTTGGTGTTGTTTGCAGTGTGCTCGACGAAGGGTTTGTTTGTGGTGTGAAAGCTGGTATCATATTTATTGGGCTAAAAGGTGAATCAAGTGTGGTTCGTGATGGTTTGTGTTTATCAGACATGATGGTTTCGGATGGCGCCAACGGTACTACGTGGCTCCTTATTCGATTGACAAAGAGAAATAGAGCTTTCTCATGAAATCTCGGTAAGTAGTCACGCCTGCAAAATAGAAAGAATCTTGGTTAAAAATATTATCGGGAAAAAAAAAAACGATAATGCCTTCTGATGCTGAAGTAAATACTTAGGATCATAATGCTTGAATTGATAGGAATAGATTGTCGTGTTAATTTATTGTGTACCTTTCTACTTGGGCCGAATGGAGTATTTAAGCGAACATGAGAGACTTTGGTTATTTTCTGCGTCCGGGTATTGCTGGTGTCTTTTGGCTATAAGGGTAGTAGTATATTATAAAATAATAATATAGGATAATTCTTTTCCCTGATTTTCGGGATACTGCTTTAGTATTAGGAAAATATAGGCCGGATTTCTTTGTATCTTATCCAGCCTTACTGGCATGATCCGGTTATTGCAACTTTATGGGTCGGATAAATATATACAAACCGACCCGGGTTTATATATGGGTTAACACCCTCCACTATTAATGTACTTATGTACAACATCTAGTTTGAGCTTCAGAACTACAAAGTAGAAGTTCAACTTGAAGTTTCATTGGTTCTCAAAATTTATACTTTAAACAGCTGATATAGAACTCATAGTAAAAATAGAGATCAATTGATTTGGTAAAAAAGAAGGAAAACACCTAATTGCTTATGTGGACAATACTGTCACATTAAATGGCACCTCACTAAAAGTTGACTATGTAAACAAGTTAAACTTGGGGACCAATTTTTATAAGTAAATAATGACTTAAATAAAAAAAATAAAAAGAATCGTCAATTGACTTTCATGCAAAAATAAAATAAAATAGTAAGTAATGTCTTTTTTGGTATGATGCTAAAAATATAATGGCTTTGTGTAATTGGCCTTTCAACTATTTAAAACCCATGAATTTAGTTTGTATAATCTAACTACAACACGGTAATTGTTATATATAATACAAATTGGACATTAAAGACCTGTGGGTATATTTTTTTGTACAGGCTTGTACATTTGAATTATATAAACTTTGTAGTATAGTTTTAACAACATATTGATCTAAGTAATGTTTATAGCAACTTTTTGCTATAAAATTTAGAAATAGAAGAAACAACCACAACATACTTCAGTAAAATGTATCGCATTCGCTTACAAACTAATACTACTTATTTCTTTTTCTTTTTTTATCTCACTTTAATTGATGCTACAATTCTCAGAAACATAAATTACAAATTTATTACTACATTTCACTCTCCCCATTATCACATAACAAATAAGTAACCCAACCAACCTCACCTTGAAACCCCATAACCACATCTTTTTACAACTCATCACCAAGAATAGTTGACATCAACATTCCTTGCACAAATTCCGATCTTCTGCTCCTTTCTTCCTTATCTTCAATCGACAATGGAGGTGTTTGAGCTTTTCTGCAAATAAATTTTCATCTTCCATTAATACCCATCATAAATAAACAGTGTGTTGTTCATAGTACACTTCAATCACATAGCTTTGAAGTTATTAGAATTAATCTTTGCATGATCTATTAAAGTTTGTTTGTTGTGTAATCGAGTAAATATCGAAAAGTAAATGGCCTATTAAATACGACATTAACAACTTTTATTAGATTATTATTGCATTTTACTTCCTATTTTTAGCCAAGTATAGCAATATCATCGAAATATAAAATCTTTTTCACTGCTATAATCGAGTAAATATCGAAAAGTAAATGCTATTAAGAAGTTGAAAGTAGAATGGTAGAATTGGTTATAGTTTTCAAAGTACGATGTCTTAATAAGGAAAAGGTTGGAAGTACAATGTTGTAATTGGAAAATAAAAAGTGATACAGAAGGGTAAAATGGTCATTTTTATCAAGAATATGGTTCCAAGATTGTATTATGTGTTCACAATAACAAATAGGATGATGATATATATATATATATATATATATATATAAGACCAAAAGGCATTGAGTATCAAGAATCATACCTTTCAGATACTTTTTCAGTTGTGCTTTTGGTTACAGAAACTGATTCAGGTGTTGAATTAGATTGAGTGCTCCCAAGATCATCAACAATTGGCAAAATAAATGATGACAACAAAGGGTCAGGTGCTGCATTTGCTGATGGAACTATATAAGAGGAACCTCCAAATAAAGACTGCAAATTTCCTTCTCTTAGTTCCCTCCTTAACAATGAAAGTGTTGATACAGAACTACCTTTGCGACACTTTCTCTTTTGTTGCATGTAAGTTTTGGTTAAGGATTTCACACTTCATCATCAAAAACATAGAAATATAGAAAAAGCAACAAATAACTTCTATTTTGTAGAAACATCATATAAAAAAAAAAGGATATCTTGAATATGTTTCCATGTTGTAAGGTTATATGTGCTACCATGTCTACCCCCACCCTCACAGCACAAATCGGACACACCTGCAATATCAAAAACTGGGACAAGTTAGACAAAAGCCCAACGATCTTTCTTAATTCTTATTCAGCTCCCAATTCAGAACCCAAAAGGCATATGCTTGTGATAATGATCAGGGTATTTCAGATTCTGAATCCCCTGATAGATACTAAATGTCATCAAGCATCAAAAAAGAAGACAGAAGGTGGAAAAGAATTGAACTTTGAAAAAGGGGATTAACGAAAATTAGGGCAAAAGTATAACAATCGGTACCCCATTCTTGGCCTCAACATGATGCTCGTCATCAATATGACAACACAAACCCACTACATCGAAATAACCGGTGCAAAAGGGGCATGGAAATTCTTCCCTGATATCATCATCCACCTCGATGTCCTCGAACCCCATAAACATATCTGCGTCAAATTCATCCAAATCCAATCACCCTATGGTCTCATACAAATTAAATTACAAATAATTACAAGAAACCCTGAATTAAATCTTGATGTTTACCAGATGATCGAGATTGAAGAGCATATTGGTATCGCTTGGATGTAGAAGATAGACGAGCAGCCCAAGAGTCAGCGTCCATGATTGACAGTGGAAGATGTTGAATCGAAATTGAGCTAGGGTTTACGGATGGATTTGAGGGGAAATTGAAATCGCAGATGAAGCTTAGGAATTGGGGATGCGTCGGGGAATAATGGATGGGGACGAGAGCGATTGGGGGTGGTTTGGTTGGTTTTGATTTTAGAGGATGCTGCTTTGCTTTGCTTTGCTTTTTACAGGTGATTTCACCCGAAAAGGAAGAGTGAAGTCGGCTACTACACATCTTTTATATCCCCACTTATTTATTTATTATTTTTTTTAATCCACATTGAATACACATAAAATAACATTTTTTTTTACTTTTTACTTACCCTAATTCTTTTGATACAAAAAATTACCATGTCTTCTTAAAGATATATATGTATTTTTATTTTGGGAAAATGACTTAAAAGACCATCGAAGTTTCAAATTTGTTCAATAAAAACCATTTAAGTATTACATGTTCAAAAAATATCATCAAATTAAGACATATATTCAAAAAACATCAACGAACTACATATTATGTTCAAAAAACATCATTTCTATGGTTTGGGGCAACTTACATGTTTAGCCCCTAACTTTTTTTTAACTCAGACGGTCCCTAGCGTTTGTATTTATTTCATCTTTGGACAATGATCGAGTTAAAAGACTAATATACCCTTATTAGTTTCATTTAACATTTATTTTTATTACTTGTTAATTATTTGTATAATTGATATATTTATAATACATAATAACATAAATTGTATAAATAATTAATAAATAATAAAAATAATGTTAAATGAAAGTAATAAGGGTATATTAGTCTTTTTAACTCGATCAGGGTCTGTGGTCGAAGCAAATTTAAACTAAAGGGACTGTCTGAGTTAAGAAAAAAAGTTAGAGACTAAATATGTAAGTTACCCCCAAAACATAGAGATGGTGTTTTTTGAACAGAACATGTACTTCGTTGGTGTTTTTTGAACATATGTCTTAGTTTGATGGTATTTTTTGAACATGTAATACTTGAATGGTTTTTCTTGAACAAATTTGAAACTTTGATGGTCTTTTTAGTCATTTTCCCTTTTATTTTTAGTCACTCATGCCTCTACCATATTTTGGCACTTTCACCTTCACAGGGAGAGATAGGTGGGGAATTGGCTACCCTTTTTTAAATTTGTCTGTATTTTTTTAATCAGTAAGTTTTACATATCTAGAAAAAACAAATGACCTTACACTATTATGAGATCTCACTAAATGTATAGTTTTTTATTAGTGAAAAATAAGCTTAAAAAGAAGTGCAAGTTCAATAGCATGCAGTTTCATGTTGCATTATTTTATGCCAGGGTGAGTGGCTCGGTATTTGCATCGTAAGTGTTGGAAATTATAGTGGTAAATGCAAGTTGACTAGTTTTTATTAACCCATATAAGTGGCGAAGAAACATTTAATAGGTTTATAATGTCTTTCTTCTGATAGGCACTTACAGGCTTTACGTGGATCAATAGATGGGTCAAGTCCACACACGCGCCTAACCTTAGCCTATGCCGCAAATGTGCGAAATGACGAACTTTATTCCCTGCAACATAAATTTCGTTATCTCTCTCTCTCTCTATTTATCTATCTCTCTCTCTCTCTCGTGTAGCTTCTAGGGTTTTTGCAACTATAAATGTAGCCCTCCTAGAGTCATCTCTCTCTCTCTCTCTCTCTCTCTCTCTCTCTCTCTCTCTCTCGTGTGGCTTCTAGGGTTTTTGCAACTATAAATGCAGCCCTCCTAGAGTCATATTCATTGCACTAGAAAATTCATTCTCTCTCTCTTTCTCTCTCTATTTTCGCAACTATAAATGCAATCCTCAGCCCACCTAGAGTCATATTCATTGCACCATAAAATTCATTCTCTCTCTCTCTCTCTCTCTCTCTTTGTTGTGTGTGATTTTTTGTTTCTGTAAATTCATTTTGTTCCATTTTTTCAAGTAATCATTTTGCGTTTATTCCTTCTTCCATAGTTGTTGAAACGAAGAATAAACTACATTAAATCCTAGGTGTTTACAGTGAAGCTTATAGCCTTGGAGTGGCGTAAAAACCTTTAAGGACAGGAGCTTTTTCCGTGCAGTCGTTTACTGGTTCGAAGACCTACAACTATGAGGTTGGTTTTACTTTACTATTATGTCTTTTAATTTCATCCAATAACTGAACATTCTGTTTCTACCACTTTTTTTATAATCAGATCTGACCGCGAATGATAGTTTTGGTTCTGGACGAAACTCGGTAATTGTATTAATAATAATTGGATTTATTATTCCCAACTAATCGAGCTGAATATTATTTGTCAGTTTCCTTGCGTGTCTATTGGATTTGATATTAACACTAAGTCGCTTGAAAAAACATTGCCTCGTGAACTTGGCATGCCAAGCTCGACACCCCAACTCGATAATCCCTTGCAACGTCTATCTTTTTTTGTTTAATCAAAACGCTATTTGTTTTTTGTCGTATAATTCAATTTTTTTACCGACTTTTTTACCAAAATATGTAGCACAACTATATTCATTTCCTAACACGCTCTCAAACCTTCAATATTCATTTTACTTCTCTCAAACCTTCGATACTCAACTTTGAAAATGGCTTCCTCAAACTCTCCAAACAACCAAAAAACTCCAAATAGAAACAACATAAACCCTTGATAATTCTACCAACCCAAAGCCCAATCCCAACCCGGTTCCCAATCTAATTCGCAACCCGAACCCGAACCTCAAGCCGACCCCAAGAATAAAAGAAATGCCTTAAACATACCTGATATGAACCGATAAAACCTGTAAATATAGTTCATGTAATTCGAGAAATAGGGAGGTCTACAAAACTGAGTTCAAGACTTAATACTCTTATTCATTATAATCATTAAACGATCATAAGGTCCTATTTATAATGTTCCGAAAAAGCTCTACTTACCAAAATTAAAAACATACTAAAAAGGAATAATTATTAAGGAAATATTAACCTTGAATAATAATAAAAGATAACTCCGAATTTGAGATAAGATAAATCTTACAGACGTATCATTACTCCCCTCCCAAACAAGCACCTTTTCCTGAAGGTGGAAATTTGTTGTTGTTCAAAATATAAATAAATAAAAAGGTGGAAATTTGTTTCTTGTTGAATATTGTTGAAATTGTGGATCATCTCCTAGTTCTCTATAATTTTCGGCCTCATCATCAGCAGCTAGTTACAGAACTTGGAGCATTCAACTAGCGCACCTATGATTAGGTGTGAACTTTTCATCACATCAGAAACATAACCCTTTCTCCCGTTTGGCAGCCAACTCATCAGTAGTAAGCCTCTTGAATTGACTTGTTTGCCACGTGGTGCTACCACTTCCCACTTCTCGCCTGTGTTGTTGGCTAGTGCTGCATCATTGGGTCTAGCCCCACCTTGGCCTTGAACCCTAGTTTTTGGTATGTCATTTTAGCGATTTTTATCCATCATCACCACCACCCTCATAGCCCAAGATAAGGTTTTCGGCTCCATAACCCTGATTATTGAGCGAAGATCCAACCTTAACCCATAAAAAACTATGCTCTCCAAAAGCTACTCAAGAAGATAGATAAATTAACCCATCAAACTCTCAAATTTGTTCACATTCTCGTGGACCGTTCTTTCTTGCTGAATGTTCAAAATTGTTCGTACACATTCCCTTATTTTGATGCCTATAAATGATCTAAAATCTTTCATTTAAATCATCCGACGAGAAAAATGGGGTCTTAGCTTAATTCCATTGATACTACGATAGTGTCAACCCCTCCATCCAAATCGAAGTTTCTCTCAGTTGATCCTTCTCACTGATTCCCTGAATTTCGAAATCATCTTAATAAACTTGTCTAATAATTATAAAATTTAAAGACAACGTATAAAATTGATGGAAAACGTAGATTACATAACAATGCTCTAAGCGGAAAAAACATTTAACACTCAAATGATTAGGGCACATACAACCTAATGAGGATATATGTCTTTCACCTAAAGGCAACATACTATGAACTATCAAACTACAAAACCCTAATGAAATCTGAATTCATAAGGAAGATTACATACTATGTTGATTGTTGTAGCAAACAATCAAGAATCCTTTCTTCAATATTTGGAAGCTAGCACCACAAGTGTCGTGTCTCTGATGATTCACACCCAACACTAGCAACTAAGAAGCTTTTGAGAGAGGAGAAAGGTAAGCAAACTTTTGGCTATCTCTAGAAAAGAATGAGTGACCGAAATATGAAGCTATAGGACCCTTTATATAGCTGAAGGAAACTTGGGGCCAAAGCTAGGGTTTTTGGAATAAGGCCTAGATTAATTAATATAATAATTAGGTTGCCTTATCTCCTCATCCAAGCCCCTTGGACGAAAATTCTAGATGATCTCTAGCCAATTTTCGTCCACCTCATCCCATAAGGATTCTAGAGTCTTCCTGCTTTAACTTTCAATAAATAACCAAACAGTCCCTACACTTTTAATTAATCCAATTAATCCCAAAATTAATTTCTGATTAATTATTAATTAAATAATGACTAAACTGCACAAATTTTCCCTGTGGTTTGCTCAAAATTGCCACTTTGGTCCAAAAATGTTTGGACTACCACCACAGGTCCAAAGTTTTCATTTTGTTGCTAGTTTGGTCCAATTTGCTTTGAACTTTTTCATAATGACCACTTTGCCGTTAGTTTTTTATTTATTTAAATATTTTTATGTTTAAAAGAAAAATAAAAAAAGTTGTATTTTCTATTTTACTTTTATAATTTTTTTATAAAGGAATAAAAATAAATAAATAAAATATACAATCTCTCTCTCTCTCACACATAAACAATAAAGACACACCTTTGTCTTCCTCCCTGACCTCCAAAAACTTTGAACCCCATCTAAATTACAACCGGAAGCTGCCAGCACCACCTTCCGCCACCACCACCATCGGATGCCACCGACCAAGGTAAGTGATTTCCTGCCCCTACCCGATCAAAGCCTACAGATCCACCGACATCCCTTCCTATCAGCAACCCTAAATAAGATTTGTGGAAATGAACCCCTATGTTTCCATTTTTTCCGGCAATACCATAACCACCATCGATTATCACCTCCCGTCTATTTCCTCCCTATTTAGCCTCTCCCGTGTTCTCTATCTCATCCCCAACCGCATGTAATTTTTCTAGTGGTGGTTTCTTCCCCACGACCGATGGTTGTTGAACCTCCGCGGGGATCATCATCATCGGACCTTGAAATCCACC